GATCCTCTGTCCAAGACAGATTTGCTCATTCTTTTGGTAATCCATGGGATATTCAATCCCCTTCTCCAACACCACAATTCAAAGGCATCACGTCTTCTGTCATCTTTATTCACTGTCCAACTTTCACGTTCATAAGAATAAACAGAAAATACCAAGGCTTGAATAAGGTAAACCAGTCTTTAAGCTGGTATTATTGTTCTTTAGCACTTTAGAGAGGTTTCTGACAGCAGATTTCCTCAATACAATTTGTTTTGATTTCTTGACTGCTGTTACCATAGGTGCTGATTGCAGATATATGTAAGAAGAGACACTAATGACTTCAACCTTTTCTCCATCTGTTATGATGCTTCCTATTGACCCTGTGGTAGGGATTCTTGTTTTTTTCATGTTGAGATGAAACTCATACTGAAGATTGAAATCTTTGAACCTCTGTGGCAAGGGTTTTAAGTCCTTTTCACTTTTTCAGGAAAGGTTGCTTCATTTACATAACACAGGTTGTTGATGAATCTTCTCCCAATCTTGATGCCACATTCTTATTCATTAAGTCCATCTTCTTGAATGATGTGCTCAACATAAAGATTGAACAAGTAAGGATACAGCCCTGATATACACCTTTCCTGAATTTTAAATTATGGACAACTGCTTCTCAGTTTAGGTAAGGTTTTGTTGAGGAGTGTTGAGAAGGAGGAGGAAGCCCCTGGCTTGGGAAAACCGCCCAGCTCCAGATTAAGTGCAAGCCTGTCTGACCCGTATCAAGTCCTTAATACGGGATATAGAAAGTTCTTCTGTGTTTGGCTGTGCTGGCTGAGAAAGCTCGCCACCCAGCAAGATGGCTTCCACATCCACTGAGCTGGGAGTGGTCTGCACTGGGCTGAAGTTCTTCTGTCCAATCTGCATACTCCACATCTACAAATCTACCCCATTCTGTCTTCCTGTTTACTTGCCTTTATATAAACACACTAAGCCCTGATAGAGTTGGCTCTCTAAAGCACTCCGGGTGGTGCGTCTCTGCTGTGCTAACCCCCACCCCAGGGTGTCACTGCTCCCCACCAACAAACAACAAGATTTTGCATAAGCACAGTTAGGTGTTCTGATTTTCTAGCTCTTCTCAGTGCCTTGTTGTGATTCACGCAGTCCAATACCTTGCATAGTTAGTAAAACTCAGATAAAACATTCTGGTATTCTCTGCTTTCAGTCAAGATTCATCTATTCATCTGCCATCAGCAATGATTTTCCTCCTGCCACAGCCTCTTCTGGATCTGGCTTGAATTTCTAGGTCCCTGGCAATGCACTGTTTCAGCTGATTTTCAATAATCTGTTGCAAAATTTTATTTGCATATGATAATGATACAGTTCTATAATGTCCACATTCTGCTGGATCACCTTTTTTTTTTTAATGGAAACAAAGCTGGTCAGGTAGCTATCTTCCAAACTTCTTGGCACAGACTAGAGAGCACATCCAGGGCTACGCCTGTCTGTTGAAACATGTCAACCAGCATTCTACCAAAACAAGGGCCTTATTTGTTGCCAGTGCCTTAAGTGCGGCTTGGACTTCTTCTTTTATTACCACTACTTAGTTCTGGTTCCATGGCATAGCTGTCTCAAGATCAGCTCCGTTTATGCTGGGTCTCTAGTTCTCTGTTCAGCTGCTGTGCTGCTGCTGTTCTCCTGTAGGTCTGGCGGCAAAGGAATCTCTGGCTCTGAAGGGTGAGCTGCATCCTTGTGCTTCTTTGCTGGTGGTGAGATTCTCAAATTCTGCTACTGAATTTGCTCAATATAATAATAAGACTAGCCAGTCACCTCATGGATAGGTTAACATATCCTATTAGCATATCCCCGCTCATTCACACAGCAAAGTCATTGTCAATGGCTAGGGAAGTCATTCTGAATGGCCTTAATACCACAACTAAGTGGAAAGACACCACGTGTAGGCCAGATGCATGCATCTACTAATTTGTTAATCTTGCCTTTTCTAAAGATAATTCTTTTCTCTTCCAAAACTGCTGAATAAAAATGAGTTCTTCCCTTACCCTTTAAAATGTTTAAAGTATTATTAGGTATCTTCCAGTTGACTACAGCTCATGTTGCATATAGCTCATGTGCTATAGAGTTGGAAATGATTCAGACTGACTCTCCAGTGGGTTTTCAGAGGCAGTTAACTGCAAGGGAGGAAACTACCTCTATTTCTCTGGGAAGCAGCTGGTAGATTCAAACCACATGCCTTTGGGTTGGCAGCACAGATCCTTACTACTAGGCCACCAGACCTCCCCACACTTCGTGGTGACCTATGAACAAGAGAGATTAACCTTGCCCTATCCTGTGCCATCATCACAATCTCAGCTATCCTTGAGCTCACGGTTACAGTCATTGTGTCAATCCACTTTGCTGAAGGTCTCCCTTTCTTTCTCTGACCCTCCATCTTTCCCAATATGATGTCTTTTTCCAACGACTGGCCCCTTCAGACACCATGCTTTAAGTATGTAGTAACAAATTTCATCATCCTAGCCTCTGGGAATACCCTGATGGCATTTTTCCAAGACATATTTATTTGTTCTTTTGGCAATCCATGGCATATTCCGTACTCTTCTACAACACCACAATTCAAATGCACAGATACTTCCATTAATCTTTCTTTTTCACTGGCAAGGCTTTGTGACACATATGAATTTGAATCAGAGGGATCATACACACCTTAGTCTTAAAGTGACATGATTACGCTTCAGCACTGTAAAAAGGTCTATTCCTCAATGCAACATGTCTTTTGATTTCTTGACTGCCGCTACCAAAGCACCTAAGTAAAATGAAATCATTGACAACTTCAATCTTTTCTCCATCTACCAGGATATTGCCTATTGATCCAAGGGTCAGGATTTTTGTTTTCTTGGTGTGGTGAGGTAAGAAGTCTTTCAACTTCTTCAGCAAGTGCTCTAAGTCATCTTTACTCTGTAAGCAAAGTAATGTTATCTGCACAATGCAGGCTGCAGATGAATCTTCTTCCAATCCTAATGTCACATTCTTCTTCATATAGTCCAACTTCTCAAAAGACATGCTCAGCATACATCTTGAAAAGGTCTGGAGAAAGGATACAACCCTGACATACACCTTTCCTAATTTTAAACCATTCAGTGTCCTCTTATTCTCTGTTCCCTTCCTAGTCCTTAACCTTGCCTATAAATATCTCCTCAGCACATGAATATTTCCTTGCTGAGATAGATTTGGAAAGCTCAAACCCTATTTCTTACATGAATTAACTTCTGCTTTTTCCGTCCTAATTGCTGTTTTAAAGAATTGTTTTTCTCGCGGCAGGGGACAGAATGTTTTTTCCAGTTAACACCTACATCTCAAATGGACTTTTCAAGTCATACACCAAAAATGTTGTCACCCACAAGTCCTGCCAATGTTTCTCATACTCGATGCCCTGATAACTGGTTGCTAATAGGTGGCACAAAGCCTGGAGATCACGAAGCATCTTTGAGCTGATGATCAGAACCACTGGCTCCTCCCAGGCTGATTCTTTCAGCCACACACCCAGTCAAAAGCTCCTCTGATGCCACCAAGCTGTAATCACAGAGACACTCAGGAAGAGTGGGAAGACAAAGACCAAGACATGACATGAGTGGCAACTCACTGCAAGGTCTCTTGTATAATCCAAAGTGCCATGACTTTATTGAAGTTTTTTAAAATATAAAACAAAAAACACTAGATGCAATTATGCCTACCAAGGAGAAAACAAACCAGAAAAACAGAATGACTTAAGTGAGCCTTTGTGCAGGTCACTGCAACAATCCAAGAGGAATAATGAAAGGCTTGTCTAGGACAGAGGAAGCAGTGCTGGGAGGGAGAGATGGAAAATTGAATCAACAGCAAACCATACTTTAAAATATAGACTGAACTGGAACTTTATTTTGATGAGGCCATGTGAGGGTAAGAGAGGCTCAAACTACCAGTATGCTCAGGGGAGATGGAAGCTCAGCTCTCCCTTAACTGATATCACAACAGAAGCCACCACCATGGTTTGTAAAATTGTTTATATTATGTTGTTGTTGTGTACTGCTGAGTCAGAACTGACTCACAGCTGACTCTCCAGTGGATTTTAAGAAACTTTAAATCACATAGGAGGAGAATGCCCATCTTTCTCCCAGGGAATAGCTGGTGAATCCAAACAGAACATTTTTTTACCAACTATGCCACAGAGCTCGACATGTAAGAAACTATATTCAAATGAAAGTAGCTTATGATTATTCAAAGTGTACGATGTGTCAATGATTGCTCTAATCACAATGAAGCTGGTGGGGTTAAGTGATTTACCAAAGCTTATGCAGCCTGTATGTGGCTGAACTAAGACCGAAACCTAAATATAGTGCTATTACGCATTCTGGGCCAATGGTAGTTTACAGGTGTTTGAGAGGTTCTCCTTTTCCAAATCCTTCTACCTCCGTCCTGCATTTATGCAGCACTGCAGATTACAAAGGACATTCTCTTGGTCTAAGCAAGGTAAATATGATTCCCACTTTCCAGATGCAGACGCAGAATCAGAGAGGTCATGAGAGGCCCAAGAATGCATCACCAGTAGAGGCAAAGCTAAAAATGTGAACTGAGACTAGAACTTGTACTCAGAGTCTAAGTGAGCTCTCATCCATCAACCTGCAAACTGTCTCTGCCCAGGTGTCTCATTATATTCTTTTCAGATGCTCCCTATCAAATGGTCAGAAGAGAGAAACAACAGTAGGTTTACTGACATAACTTCACTGCATCAAGAATGTTGTGGTGGTTGTGTGTTTTGTAAGAACTGACCCACAGCTGACCCCCCAGCAGGTTTTCAGAGACAGCAAATTGCACGGGAGAAAACTGTCCTTCCTGCAGAGCTGCTGGTAGGTTTGAACAGGCTGGCATGCCTTTGGGATTGCAGTGCAGCTTCTTACCACTACGCCACCAGAGCTCCCTGGCACCAAGAATAAGACAAAAGCAAAGCTGATTCTTACTGAAAGTAGTTTGTGTACCTGCTGTGGAATCGTAGAAGTCTTGCAGTCTCCCAGGCATATTCTCAAGGTCCTCATATTCTGATGCCTGGAGAATCATCTCACACTGGTCCAGCTGCTTCACGTACTTGGCTTCTGCACTAGATTGTGTCTCATACTCCTAAGCAAAGGGACAAGAACAGCATGATTCAAGCTAGCACAAGAGGTTACTTCAGGGGAATTCTAATTCTACACGTGAAATCTGAACAATAGCTAAAAATACATTCACCTTCACAGAGATTTCTACTCTTTAACAGTTTAACAGCTGTGTAAGAAGAGAGTGCCTGGAATTCCATGTAGCCGCCACCTTCTTAGAAACAGTCTATGTTCACTGGACATTTCTGTGCTTTTTATTCCGGTTTAGAATCTTGTCTCTAAGATTATCACTCTTTAACCTACCTGTGTAGCTTGGATTTTATATTTTTCAATTTGAAACTCAAATTTCATTATAAGCTACTCAGTTTTTTCTTTCTCCATTTTATAAAAATTGAAATGTTAATGAAAGTTACAGAGAACTTGGATTTCCATTCATTCATTGTTGCACCTTTTCCTCCCTGCTCACCCCTCACCCTGGTTCGCTTTTCTCTTTAAAAAAAATTCTTTCATTGTTGTACAATTCCCCAGCCCCACCCCAGTCATCTTGACTATGCAACTCTTATTCTGCCCTGTTGTCATGCAAATAACACCTACTCATATATTTCTTTTAAGCAGTTTTTTAATTTTGTGAAGTGCATGTCTAGCTTTATAATACACTTTTGTTCTGCTCTGCACTGAAAATTTGTCCTTGCAAATCTAAATATAACCAGCTGCCGTCAAGTCAACCTTAACTCATGGTAACCCCATACATTAGAATAGAATTGAATTCCACAGACTTTTCAATGTTTTATTTATCTGAAGTGGATCATTAGGGTTTTCTTTCTTGTGTTTCTGGGTACACTTAAACCTCTAAAGTCACCTAGCAGCCAAGTGCATTACCCATTTGTTCTACCCAGGTACCTCCCCTTCTACATAGGGTGAGTAAAAGCACTTGACTACTAATCTCAAGTTCAGCTGTTTGGAACAATAGATACTTTGGGTGGATAAAGTAAAACAGTCTCTTGTTCTGTGGAGAGTTACAGAAACACTATAAGTAGGCCCCATGAGATGTATGAAGAAGTTATGATTTCTATAAGTCAGTTGATGCGATGGCTCTGTGTGTGTGAACCTGACAGTGCGTTGGCTTATGTGCCCAACTGTAAACCAAAAGGTCAGTGGTTCAAATCTACCAGTTGCTTGTCAGGAAACAGATGAAGCAGTGGGCATCTGTAAAGCATATGGGGCAGCCCTATTCAGTCCCTCAGGGTCGGATTCAACTCACTGGCAACAGCTTTGGCTTTTGTTGGCTAGGGTGTGTGCATGTGTTGGGGGAGGGAAGGGAGGATAATATGGGTGTGTGGGGAGGAGTTGGCTTTTTTCACTTTTCCCGTTGGTCCCTCCATCCTCGGTGCAGATTTAAATACCTGCAAGAGGTCTGCTTCTTAGAGGGTGACACTTGCCACACAATCAACAGTTCCAATTGAATTAATCATCTACTAGAACCAAAGTGCTCTCTCAATCAGCTCTGCAGCAAGTGCTTATTGGCAATTCCCCCAGAAGTGTACATAAATATAATTTGTCATGCTTTCTTGGTGGTATGATGTGGTATAAACCACCAGAAATTTCTGAGTTTTTTAAATCCTTATTCTTAAAAAGGGAGCTATTTAGATGTTGACAAGAAATCTGCACTGCAATCCCAAAAGACATGGGGGTGCTTCGAATCTACACGCTGCTCGGAGAGAGAAGGATGAGCAATCTCCTTTTAGAGGATTAACTGCCATTGAAAACCTGCTGCAGAGTTAGCTATAGGTCGGTTCTGATCAGATGATACTCAGCAACAAAAACAATGCAGAGCAATGAAACTCATTATTTCAGTGGCACTTAAAAGAACTGCATGTAAGAGTTTGCTCATATTCTTAGCTACATACCTGCATTCAATATATTAAAATTTTGATGGAGGACTCTAAGCATAGCAGTCTAGGATATGTTTTTATTGAAAGTAAAGAGTAAAAAAAGAAAGATTTCAGGAGCATTAGGGAAAATAAAGCATAATGAAATTTCTCTTAAAAGTATAAACTGTTGGCTTTTCCCTCAAGAAATAATCACCCCAACATTTTTGACCTTTGCTTTCTAGCAAGAACGTAGTGCAGGGAGAAGAGAAGGAGCCAGGTATTTTTTGAGAATTACTGCAAGTGGTGTGAATGGAGACAGGCTAGAGGGCTGCAGGGAAGAAGAGGCTGGAGATAGAGGCAGCAGCAACTTCTCAAAGGCCTGTGGTTTAAGCTGTGGTGTCTAAGTTTCATGCTGCAGTGACTGGGCCTCACTGAAGGGTTTCAGAAAAATGAGAGGCAGAGGAATACGTGAACTGTACTGAGTGTGCAACCAGCAAAGTCCAGAGAGAGGGACTCTATAGACCACAAGATAACATTCTTTACCCCGCTCTCAGCAAGTGAGTCAACTCTGACTTAGAGCAACTCTGTGGGACAGAGCAGACAGCCCCCTTGGCTCTCTAAGGCTGTCATCTTTGGGAAAACCGCCTCTGTCCTGTCATGTCTAACTATCAAGATTTTGGTTAGCAGCTGAATCCCTTAACCACAGGGTCACCAGAACTCCTTCAGAATCAACAGGTAATTTAGAAACAAAATATCAAATGTTGAGTACTATTATTGAAAGAAACTTAAGAGACATATAAGCATTAGAAAAAAGGACAGACTTAAGTTAAAATATCACGTTGAGTCATAAAACCATAAAGAATAACAGTGAAATGGCCATAAAATCAGAATGTTGTTGTTGTTATGTACCATCAAGTCGAGTATGACTTGTCACGACCCTATGAACAAAAGATCTGAACCCAATCCTGTCCTGCGCCATCCTCATAATTTCCGACACAAAAGAGCCCATTGCAGCAGTCACCCTGTCAATCCACCTGGTTGAGGGTCTTCCTCGCCTTTGCTGACCGTCTATCCTACCCAACCTCACATCATTCTCCGAGGAATAGCACATCCTAGTAATATTTCCTAAGTATGTGAGGCAAAGCTTCATCATTCTTGCCTCCATAGAGCACTCTGGCTGCACCCTCTCCAAGACATATCTTGCTTGGCCATCCATGGAATGTTCAGTGTTCCTCTCCAACACCACAGCTCAAAGGCATCAATTCTTTTACTGTAATCCTTATTCACTGCCCAGGTCTCAGATGCATATCTAGTAATTGGAAAGACCATAGCCTGAATCAGATGCACCTTCCTCAAACTGACATCACTACTCCTTAGTAATTTGGAAAGGTCCCTAACTGCAGATTTTCCCAATGCAATGCATCTCCTTATTTCCTGACTGCTGGTACTACAAGTGTTAATTGTGGATCCAAGCAAAATGAAGCTGTTAGCAGTTTCAATCTCCTCTCCATCCATCATGGAACTGCCTATTGGATGTCAGAAGAGATGCTAAAGATTGCACTGGAATGTTGAGAAGCCAAATCTAAAAGAAAATATGACAAAGTGAAAGAGCTGAGCAGACGGTTTCAAATGGCAACTCGGAGGACAAAGCAAAGTATTATAATGGAATGTACAGAGAGCTGGATTTGGAGAATAAAAAGGGAAGAACTTGCTCTGCATTTCTCAAGCTGAAAGAACTGAAAAACAAATTTAAGCCTCACGTTGTAATGTTGAAAGATGCTACGGGTGATATACTGAATGACTCAGAAAGCATCAAAAGAAGATGGAAGGAATACACAGTACCAGAAAGAACTGATTGACACAAAAATTTCAGGAAGTGCCATATGAATAGGAGCCAATGGTAATGAAAGAGGAAGTGGAAATCGGAATAGTGGTTACTTATTTTGGGAGTATTTGGTTAGGACACAGGGAAGGGCTTCAGGGGTAAAAGGTAAGTTCCAATTCATAATGAACTGCAGTTAGAAGAATGCTGTCTTTCAATTATTCAGTGTTCTCTAAGTTGTTTTGAATCTGTTCAACTGAGAGATTCTTGTGGGAGTATGCAGAGAGCTGTGCATTGAGCTGTTGAGATTATGAGTCTGGGAAGATTTCTCAGAAGAATATATGGTGTCATCAGCTCCTGATCACTGCAGGCCATGATAGGATTATAAAGAAGAGAAAAAAATCAAAGACAACTGAGGGACATACAAGCTTCTGAAGTGAGCAGGGGAAGAAGAGGTGCATGTGAAGAAAGTTCAGGTAGAAGAGCTGAGAAGTGGCTGCCACCGTTTTGATTGTGTGGAAGCACAGACACCGGGTGGGAGTTCTAGAGAGGGGGGTTGCATTCGCTGTGGACGGTGCCACCGCTATCATGCTGTCGTCACCGCTGAGGGTGGGGTGGTGTGCTCGAGTAACCAGAACCAGAGCAGGGAGGCACACAACATCCTCAGCAAACAAGGATTCAGTGTGTGTTCCTTTGGGACAGGGATACACGTGAAACTCCCAGGACCAGATCGAGACAAGCCTAACATCTACGATTTCAAACCACATATAATCTGATGTACAATGATCTTCTTAGGAACGACAAAGAACTCTACACAGAGAATGGAACCTTACACATGGTGGACAGGAATAAGAGAATCAAGCCTCAGCCAGAGAGGTTCCAGAACCACAAAGATCTGTGTGATCTGATCCTCACCTGTGAGGAGCGAGTCTACAACCAAGTCGTGGAAGATCTGAATTCCTGGAAACAGGAGACCTGCCAGCCAGTGCATGTCATCAACGTGGATATCCAGGACAACCACGAGGAGGCCACGCTGGGGGCCTTCCTCATCTGTGAGCTGTGCCTGTGTATCCAGCACACGGAGGACATGGAGACGAGATTGATGAGCTGCTACAGGAGTTCAAGGAGAAGAGTGGCCGGGCCTTCCTGCACACGACTGGAGGCCTCAAAGCCAGGCCTTTCTGCAGGGAGTCGGCTTCCACTGACTCGGCTCCATGGACCCTTGCCACCTCAGAGCTCCCTGTGTGAATATTTCCCTGATTTTGTTTTTACTTATAGGTATACTGCTAGTATGCAGTAAGATTACCAAATAAATTGTACATATTAAATGAGAAGATACACATAATTGCCATATTAAAAACATGAGTGGGATATTGATTATACAGATTCCCCCTCTTAACTCCAACAACAACAACAACAAAAAGTAAAAGGGGAGAGGTTTTATAGCACCTCTCCTCGACGTATGTCTGTAGTTGTGTGAGCCTTTATCCCTCACTGGCTGGACTGTAAAAATACTCAAATAAAAAGATGTACTGTATTCTCAAAAAAAAAAACCAAAAAAGAAGAAGAAGAAGAGTAGAGAAGTACCCAGAAAATCTGGAGGAAGCAACAGCACCGATATTTAGGGGGACAGAATTTCAAAGTGGGGAATGACCACAGAATCAGCTGATCAGGTGGTACACAAGTACAGCATGAAGGAGGGGACTGAGCCACACAGAAGCCATGTGTGACCCCAGGGAGAGCAGAGCATGCAGACAGTTAGGTATGTAGACAACTCCTTACCTATATGGTCGCAAGGCAAGTAGAGGAACCTAGCATCCAGGGACGTTTCTATGAAAAATACGGTTTATGTGAACATATTTATAAGGTTCACCGAAGAAAGTGAAAAAATCCTGCATTTGGCCCATTGTTTGGCTGCTTCACAACCTGGAGAAGGCTGGTAAGAAAGGATGAGTATTGGGCATAGGGAAGAGCTTATTAAGATTATATTAAGATAATCTAAGTCAACAGAAATGGTTATGTGACTTATAAATTCAGTCACAACAAATAAAAATAATCTGTTTATGCTCAATTGAGCCCTCAAAAGACATCTTGAAGTCCTAACTTCTAATCCATGTGAATGTGACCTTATTTGGAGAGAAGATCTTTGTGGATATAATCAACTTAAGATGAGGTTACAAGAGTGGGCCCTAATCTAGCATGACTAGTGTTCTTAAAAGGAGAGAAAAGACACACAGTAGAAAACTATGTAATAGCAGAGGTAAAGACTGGAGTGGTGTCTCAGCAAGCCAAAGGATGCCAGTAATTATCAGCAACACCAGAAGCTACAAGAAAGGCAACCATAGCTCTCTGCACCTTGGTGATCAACAGAGAGCCCTCTCTTCTCGTGCAACCTCAGCTGCAGCCCTGAGACACGATGGTAAAAGTCAGAGTAAATTGATTTAGCCCACACTGGACTACTCGTCAGTAAGGGCTGTTTAGACTCTGGCAAAGAGGATACTGTTACCATCAATGACCCCTTTATTGGCCTCAACTACATGGTCTCTATGTTCCAGTATGATTCCATACTTATGACAAGTTCAATGCACTGTCAAGGCTGAGAATGGGAAGCTAGTCATCAATGGGAAAGCATCTTCTAGGAGCAAAATTCCGCCAGTATCAAGTGGAGTCATGCTAATATGTTGTAGAGTTCACTGGTATCTTCACAACCCTGGAGAAGACTAGGGCTCACCTGAAAGGGGGTGCCAAACAGGTTATCATCTCTGCTCCTTCTGATGATGCCCCTATGTTTGTGATGGGCATGAACCATGTGAAGTATGACAACTCTTTCAAGATTGTCAGCAGTGCCTCCTGTACCACCAACTGCCTGGCCCCTGGCCAAGGTCATCCATGACAAATCTGGCATTGTAGTGGGACTCATGATCACTGTCTATGTCATCACTGACACCCAGAAGACTGTGGATGGCCCCTCTGGAAAGCTGTAGTGTGATGGCTGTGGAGTTGCCCAGAACATCATCCCTGCATCTACTGGTGCTGTCATCGCCATGGGCAAGGTCATCCCTGAGCTGAATGGGAAACTTGATGGCATCACTTTCCATGTCCCTACCTCCAATGCATCAGCTGTGGATCTGACCTACTGTCTGGAGAAAGCTGCCAAATATGCTGGGGCTGCTATTGCACTGAACAACCACGTTTTCAAACTCATTCCTTGGCATGACAATACATTTGGCTACAGTAACAAAGGTTGAACTGATAGCTCAAAAGGGGGGGGGGGGGAGGAGAGCACAGAGAGAGAGCGCGCGAGCGCATGCGCCGGCCTAAAATCAATGAACTTTCAGAGAATCCATCTTGGTTACAGAGACTGTGGTAATTACCACAGCAGCCCCAGGCAACTAAGACATAATCCTGAGTACTTACTTCCCAAAGTTCATAAAGCTCTTTTCTCAGGTCCTCAGGCAGAAGCTGGGTCAGCTGCTTCATCGCTTCCTGAAATATCAAACCATTCTATTAATGATGCTCACATAGCTATTTAAGTTAAAATAAGTCTGTAAAGGCAAAAAATGTCTCTGAAAGGGAGGAAAGAAGAGGTTTATGGTGGACAATAACAGTATGATGGAGAGCAGTTGTATGTATTAAGTAATAGCTATTTATTAACATAGACTTTACATAGTACTTATTCTGTGGTTTGCTGCACATTAAACACAAAAATAGTTTAAACAAAGCATGATAAGATTACAAAAGTATCAAATAAGGCCAACAATTTTACATCTTGTGGATGAATCATTAATGTATCACTAAGCATACCAGAGTTTAAAAGAAACCTAAAACTAGAGACTGATAAAGGAACACTTAATTACATATCTCAAGAACTATTCTGTATACATTAGATCCATTTTCTATATTATTATGTGCTATTGAGTTGGAACTAACTCATAGTTGACCCTTCAGCGTGTTTAAGGCTGCATGGGAGGAGATTGCCCATCTTCCTCCCACAGAGCAGCTGGTGGATCTGAACTGTCTTTCTGGGTTAGTGTTTCAAATACCAGAAGGATCAGCCATGGTGGACAGGGTTCAGCATAACTCCCAGATTAAGGAAGATGAGGAAGCAGAATTGGCTATGTAAAGTAAGAGGCCTCAGATAACCCTATGAACAAGAGAAGTATCAGAGGTAGCGCCCAGATTTTAAGCTGCTCAAAATGAGGAGAAACATCTACAACCAGGAGAAGATAAAAAAGATGAATGGGACCTTCTAAGAATCAAATCCCTATGCACATCCAAAAACTTCTCCAACAGGGTAAAAAGGGAAGCCACAGACTGGGAAAAAGTATTTGGGAATGACATTTCAGTTAAGGGACTTATATCTAGAATTTATAAAATACTTGAGCACCACAACAATATAAAAGTAAATAATCCAATAGAAAAATGGGCACAGGATATGAATAGACACTTCACCGAAGAAGACATTCAGATGGCCAACAAGCACATGAAGAAATGTTCAAAGTCTCTAGCTCTAAGAGAGATGCAAATAAAAAAAACTATGAGATATCATCTCACCCCAGTAAGAATAGCAAAATATAACAGAACAGCAAGCAACAAATGCTGGCGAGGATGTGGAGAAACTGGAACTCTTATTCACTGTTGGTGGGAATGTAAGATGGTGCAACCATTGTGGAAGGTGGTGTGGTGCTTTCTCAAAAAATTGCAAATAGAGATACCATTTGACCCAGCAATCCCATTACTGGGAATATACCCCAGAGAGACCATGTCTGCCATCCAAGCAGATATATGCACACCCATGTTTATTGCAGCTTTGTTTACAATAGCAAAGAGTTGGAAGCAGCCTAAGGGCCCATCAACAAACGAATGGACAGAGAAGCTGTGGTATATCCACACAATGGAATACTACGCAGCATTGAAAAACAAGAAACTCATGCAATATTGTTCAAAGTGAGTGACCCTGGAGGACATTATGCTGAGTGAAATATCTCAGTCACAAAAGGACAAATACTGCTTAGTGCCACTGTTATAAAACAGAACTGATTGGGGGGGGAAGACTGAGAAAGATGGGATAAATACTGTATACTGCGTTGAAACAGATGAGGGAGAGAACTGTTTAAAAGAAATATGTGATTTAGTATTATTGTCATGACTGGAGTCAAGAGCAAAGCCTGCATAGTGGAGTGGACCTGGGGGCGGGGGGGGGATTGAAAATCAGTGGGGGAGTGTCTCTTTCACTTTTCAAAGAGAAGGGGGGGGTAAGGGTGGGCAGAAGAAAGGTGCAACAATGAGTGAATGGAAATCTGGGGTCTCGGTTCCAAATCAATGGCACACAACAACAACATCCTAAAGTACAATGTTGTGAGAGAGAGGGTACTTTGAATACTCATACAAGGAAGACCTGGTAATATGACTATTAATCAAACATGTGTGCCAATGACTAAAGACAAAAAGAAGGAAATTGAGGATTTCCACAAACTTTTGCAGTCCAAAATTGACCAAACACGCAATCAAGATGTAGTAATAATTATTGGTGACTGTAATGCAAGACTTGGAAACAATGAGGAAGGGATAGTAGTTGGAAACTATAGTCTTGGTGGACAAAAGGCTGGATATGAAATGATTAAATTTTTTGTACATTGAATAATTTATTCATCTCAGATAACTTTTTATAAAACACGAAAGGTGACTTTGCACATGGACTTCACCTGATGAACTGCACAGGAATCACACTGACTACATCTGTGGGGGGAAAAAAATCACTGGAGAATTCACTATCAGCAGTCTAAACCCTGTCAGGTGTTGACTGTGGAACAGACCCATCAATTACTCATGTGCAAGTCCAAATTAAAGCTAAAGAAATTTTAAACAAGTCCACAAATAACTTTGAGTCAATTGTACCTAAATTTAAAACTCATCTCCAGAACAGATCTGTGGTACTGAACACTAACAAGAGACAACCAGATGAGTTATGGGATGACAAAGAAGAAAGAAAAGACCAAAATGGATGTCAGAAGACACTAAAAATTGCACTAGAGCATCGAGAAGCCAAAACCTAGAGGAAAAATGATGAAATTAAAGAATTGAACAGAAGATTTCAAAGGGCAAGTTGAAAAGACAAAGCTCTGTGTTGTAAGATAATTTGTAAAGAGCTGGAGTTGAAGAATAAAAAGGGAAGAACCAGCCTAGCATATCTAAAGTTGAAGGAATTGAAAAATAAATTCAAGCCTCAAACTGCAATATTGAGAGATGCTACGGGAAAAATCTTGAGTGATCCAGGAAGCATCAAAAGATGGAATGAATATACAGAATAATTTTATCAAGAAATAGTGGCTGACATGGAAAAATTTCAGGAAGTACTTTATGAATAAGATCTAGTAGTAGAGAAAGACGATCAAGCTGCATGGAAAATACTGGCAAAAGATAAGGTCCCAGGAATCAATGGAGTATCAATTCTCATGTTTCAAGTGACAAAAGCCGCCCTAGATGCATTCAAGTCTATGGCGGGAAATTTGGAGGGCAGCTGCCTGGCCACCTGACTGGAGATTCGTATTTGCTCCCATTCCCAAGAAATGTGATTGTAAAAGAAGCAAGGGCCACATGAGGACTGCCACATCTGACCTCTATTAATTTCACAAAGGGCCACTGTCCCCATAATCAAAATCTACAATAAAATCTACAATAAAAAACCAATCCCCATGAGGTTATACATGTCTGCCATGCTCTCACATCTCTTTCTAATTCCAACACCAATCTCACTGCCCTACTGTGTATGAAGTCTGATGCAACAGCTCACAGAGCACACAGAACTATACTCATGATTATAAGGTTTATTAAGGAAATTAACAGGATACATTTGCTCAGACACAACAGCTCCAAAGCATGCTTAAAAGTCCTTCAGCCTTCAGCCTAATGACTTTAAGCCAGCTCTTACAAAGCTCTAAGACCTGCAAAGTATGGTGTTTCCTCTCCTAGTCCTCCAACAAACTTGAGGGAAGACTCCAAGGTCTGGTTCCACACAGTAGCAGACCCAAGGTCAAGTCTCTGGTTCTCCACTGCGTCAGTGGCTGCTTCTCTCTTGTAGGTCAGGCTGGTGCAAGAGTTTCTAGTGCTGAAGGGCACACACTGCATGCCTGCTTCGTCTTTGCTTGTGGTGAAATTCTCAAAGTCTGCTGCTGAATCCACTCAATTTAAGACAAGACTAGCCAAACCCTTTGTGGATAGACAAGCAGGCCCTATTTGTATATTTCTGTCTATCCACACAGTAAAGCCAAAGTCAACATCTAGGCAAGTAATTTTGAATACCCCACAGTGACACAACAGAATGTGGAAATTATGTAATAAAACTAGTATCACATGCAAAAAAAAAATGCTGAAGATCATCCCAAAATAGCTAGAACATTGAGAGAAAACTGCCGGAAGTTCAAGCTGAGTTTAGAAGAGACTGTGGCACCAGGGATAAAATTTCTGAGGTCAGATGGATCCTGGCATAAAGCAAAAAAAAATCAGAAAAATGTCTATTTGTATGTTACTGATTATACAAAGGCATTTGACTATGGCTAACATCAAGAAGAATGAGAATTCCAAAACACTTACTTGTGCTCATATAAAACCTATACCTAGACCAAAAGCAATTGTTCCAACAAAGCAAGGGAACATTTGTTGTTGTTGTTGTTATGTGCTGTCAAGTTGCCTGTGACTCACAGTGACCCTATGTACAATAGCTCTGAAGCCTGCCCTGACCTGAGCCAGTCTCACTGACTCTGACATACCTAAGCTGATTAACCCAGTTACTTTGTCAATTTGTCTCATCCAGAGTCATCTTCTCCTGCACTTCTCTACTCTTCTGAACATGATGTCCTTCTCCAAGGATTGGCTCCCTCCTGGCCATGTGCCCAAAATATGTGATATGAAGCTTCAAAATCCTAGCCTTCAAGGAGAAACTTGGTTCCACCATGTTTTCACAGTTTAAAATCAAGAAAGGTGTATGTATGTCAGGGTTGTATCCTTTCTTCCTATCTATTCAGTCTATACATTGCGCAAATCATTCAAGAAACTAGACTCTATGAAGAAGGATGTGGCATCAGGATCAGAGGAAGACCCATCAACCATCTCCACTATGGAGATGACACAACCTTGCTTGCTGCAACTGAGGAAGAGTTAAAACACTTACTGTAGAAAATCAGACTACAGTCATCAATATGGATTGCATCTCGAAATCAAGAAGACAGAAAGTCCTCACCACAGGACTAATAAGCAACACTGTGATGGATGGAGAGAATACTGACATTGTCAACTATTTTCATCTTGCTTGGATCCACAATCAATACCCTTGATACCGGCAGTCAAGAGATCATGAGACGTAGTGCACCAGGCAAGCCTGCTATCAGGAATCTCTCAAAATGACTGAGAAGCAATTTAGTTTAGGGACTACGGTGGGCCTTTTCAGTCACTTTCTATGCATCTGAGAACTGAATATTGTCTAAGCA